CAAGGGAAGCGACCGGAAAGTAAAGGATGAACCTACTTCAGGTTCCGACGCTAGACTGTAGTGCTACATGTGTTCTTGCTAAAATCCAGAATGCCTCTAACGGTTTTCCGGACAAGATCTCTGTCCCTTGGGCCGGTATCGCGCACTTCCTATTGATTAGATTTGATTCATGGTGTTATTGTGTTCCAAATGACATGATATTTATTCATAATTCGTTGTAAATATACATACTTACATAGACACATCTAAGCTTATACAGTAAAGCGACAAGCATGTGAAAAATTGCATGACTTATGACTAATCAACACCCGAACTTGTAAGCATAACCTAGATGGTGACCTTAGTTACTTGAAAAGCTTTATTACAGAGCAGCATAATAGTAAGTACTTCATCGCTGAATGACTTCAGCTTCAAGCCAAGACCCGCCTTGTCTTTAAAAATATAACAATTTCATTGCCAAGAACGAAAGATGGGCGATGTTCACTGCTGTGACGGCTAGCATTGATACAAACTACGGAATGGTTTTTCGGTTCTCGAGTTCCGTTAATAGAATTTTGATAGGATTTAGTTGAAAAATCACGAGTTTCCTTACACAATTCAAGGGCATTACAAAAAATCGAGTGAAGAGCGTTTCACTAAGCCGTTCAACATCAACGAGGAACACACCATTTTCGGTCAGCGCATGGGTCACTTTGCCCAGAAAGAATGAAATTTAATAGCAAAGCAATAATTAAGACGGATCTAATGATGGAAAGGAAGCCCATTGGAAAGTTAGAGGTGGTCAGTGATGCACAAAAGATGAAAAAACCGAGAAAAAATGCCCTAGAACCCAGGAAGAGCACACCTTCTTTGCCCGTTGATTTGCTCCATGCATTGATTGCCCTTAGCACTCTAGCGCTCTATACGATTCTCATAAGGGCTGCTCTCTTCAACGCTAACGCTCTCTCTGTTATACGGTCAGCGACCCACACACAAGACCATGCGAGTGGGGGCGTACCGCGACAATAGCGCGCCATTTGCGCTGCGCTGAAGGCCATGCTAGATCTCCGGGGGTTTATCTCTCGATGCAAATTGCGTCCACATCCTTAGGGTCTTCATGTCTTCCCACTAGGTGAGTTTCCCCTGCATTTTCTTATCGAAGAATCCTCCTCTAAAACAAACTCGCAATCATTGCCGGCCCCTTAGACGGAAGAATAATTTCTGTAGATCTTCTGACATGAATTTTCGGATGGAAAACGGAGAAAAACTCAGAGAAATTTTGTCATCAACCATTCTTTGATTTTCGGTGCTTTTGGTTTTGTCAACTGCGCCTTAAACAGCATCAGCAAACGCCCATCTTCCGGAGAAATAGAAAACAAGCAAGTAGCGAGGTAGCTAGAATAGCAGTATGTATAGTGCACGAGAGAGGATAGAGCCTATGTATGTAGCAAATGATTCAATTGAATTTCAATTCGCACATTTTCAGATCAACAATACCGCCCAGTTACTGCTGGCTGAGGACATCTGTCATATTTCGAAAGATGACCAGGTGAGAAATGGGAAAGCAGAATCACAGAGGCAGCGGCAGCGCTGAATCCCCTCGGTAGATCTCGCTTCGGACTCTTGAAGGGAACTGTAGTATACATAGTTGAGCTTTACAAATTTTGGCTATAGCCTATGTTAGGTATGTACAGAGACAGTCCCATCTAACGCGCCCAATCTAAGTTGACTGTTGATCCACTATGTAGGCTCGTTTCACACTGGACGGGACGCGCGCGTTTTGGCTTTTTTGGCCGTGTGGGACCGGGCCGAGTGCGACCGCCGCACCTCGGATCCGTGAATTTTTATTGATAACTTTTTTAAAGCACCAGTGGTACAAAAACATCTCAGTAACAGTCAATGCGTAGAAGGTAATAGAGTATATAGTGACGAAGTTCCGATTAAAGAACATGTAATGGTAATGAAAAAGGAAATTTTAGTCATTTTATCTGTAGTGGATGCCAAAAGCTCTTTTGATGTGGTTATACCAAGTGAAACATGTATTTTTCTGTCTCTTTAGATTTGCATTTACTTTCACTACCCTTTTTTTATTGACGTGTTCATGAGAATAGCATGAAAACTATTAATGAACCAAGCCGCCGGTTTCGGTGAGCTTGGAAAACTTCTTCTAAACTGGAGCATATTTGAACAAACAATGACCTATGTCGTTCACAATAATGTTATGTTCTAATCCATAGAAGAGAGACAAACAATTCGGGAAAAAGCTGCGCATGCCCTAGAAAAAGGGATGATAAGGGTGAGACGCGGTAACGCGTCTCAATGTCCAACGAGGTGCGCAAAGTGAGACGCGTTACCGCGTCTCAATGTCGTCAATGTGTTAATACCTTGGTCACCATTTTCATATGTTTTCATATCCAGATCTCACGTAGGAAAAGTCGGAGTGGAATGCGAATGCGATTGAGTTTTCACAATGGCAAAAGGCAATGTTTGAGCCCATTCTTATCCTTCCTAATTAATGAGTCGACTACAAAAGGGTGGAACGGGGTTGGTCCGGGCGAGAAGCGTTTTGACACTGTACCCTGCACGCGGTATGCTGTGCCACCTACTACCATTTCAATACCTCCGAGGATCACGGTCGAGGTTGACCACTGAAGAGATTTTGGTCACTGACAAATCAGTTTTGTGTCTAGTAACGCATCACTGAAGGACGCTGAGGCGTAGAACTTGGAGTTCGGACCTTGCATTTCTCACAGTCATGCCCATGGAATCCTATCTGCGTGGTATAGAATAACACGATAGGATATCTGCTACGCCTTTTCTCCTTGGAGTCTCTCTCTTTCTCCTGGCTTCATCACTCTGTAGCTCGCTGTTCCTTCTTCTACCCTCCACAACGCTCGATCGTGACCTGTATTCTCGGTAGTTTCTTCCTTGTCTCAAACTGATGTTCAAACCTGAGCCTCACCTTCATTATCGGGTGCAACACATTACCAAACATAAATTTAAATAGGAGGAGATGTTCTTTTCCGTGTGATAATTCTAATTGATAAATTCTAATGAATGTGTGTTTTATTATGGGGTCTATGCAGCAAGGTAGTCTAGTTTCCGTTTCGCACGTGCTCTTAGACGGAAACTAGACGGACTGAGAATCCTTCCTCTGCGTATTCTTTCCTCTGTTCTTCTCAACTGAGACGTGGGCGTGCGCTCAAAAATTAGCTAGTCAATACAAGTTTCAGTTGAATTTATTTATTCATTTCGTTACGTAAAAACAACATGCTGAAATAAGAAATGAAAACAGCATAAACTGAGGTACAACTGATCGAGTGAAACAGAATAAAAACTGAAAGTACAGAAAAGGGCAAGAAAAAGTAACTCAGCATTAGCCATGCAGTTTGGGTCATAAATTTTATGATTGGAGGGAAGGAGTATTTTTCGTTTGCAGATCTGGAGAACATGCCGATCCATGATAGACCGAGCAGTTCACAGTTCAACAAAGATGTACTTCTTGCAAGCATACGCCATGGATCAGCATTTTGCGCATAAGGTCCTTCATCGTTTCACGTGATTGTTTCTGGTGAAATGGAGAAACAAGATACAGTCGAAAATACGACCATTTTCAGGTTCTTTTCATGGCGCCGAACATTGGAACGCTGATGGTGCTAATCAAAAAGATGGGTCTTGTATGATCTGTACAAATTTGTGAATAAACAATTTATTATATTATATATTTTATTTCCGCAAAGAGTATGTTTTTTAACCAAAACTGAAAAGTAAGTTGTCAGGTGTGACGATCTGTCGCCTCTGTTTCGTTTGTTTCTTGATCACGCTCTTATTTGTCGTTAACAAGAGAGGTCGTTTTAGGATATTTTAAGCGCTTTTTCTAACGTTGTCTGTGCTGTGTGGATTTTTACAGAGAACCGTAGTACAAATATGGTGCTTCTCATTGTCACTGAGGGACCCTTCTGGGGGCCAAAAAAGAGTGGGAAAAAATTGTTAAGAATGGATGGTTCTACAGCTTTGGAATGACGTTCCGGACCTTTTATTTTGAACCTAACCTTTGCGCTATTCCCACAACCGAGTGGGTTGTTCTAATAGAATGATCAAGGACAAAAGGAGAGCGAAAAAAAAACAGATATCTCTAACTCGAAATGTTCCCTCGGTCTAGGGGCGACGGCGCAGTGGGGACAAATAAAACAGAGTAATGCATATAACCGCTGAGGGACTTAAGCACAAACTGAAAGATACTGGTGAAGATTGTATCAAAATCTGAATGCAAGTGGTGCTGATGACCCTGATAATTAATATAATACCTACTATCGGGACTGCGCCACCCTTTTTAGCCTTCATGGGCCCTTAGCGAAAGTGGACTGCGCGTCTTTGCAGGTTCACATATGCGTGCTTGTAAAGATGCGAGGAAGTGCGTGTCTGAAAGAGCGCTTCACGACACGGAACGGCTCGAGCGTTGAAGGTGTCGCAGCGGGTGAAAAGTGCGACGCAGTGAGAGAGTGGTGCAAAGTGTGTGAGCCGGCGGGCATGCTGAGGGGTTGAATATTAATTTTGCGACCCTCTCTGATGTCGTCCTCAATAACACCCCCCTCCAGCATGAATAAATGCTTCATTCGGATAAACATGAACGCTTTTAGTGCCGCAACTTGTGACTGCATCGAGCAAAAGTGCTCTACAGTGCGTTTCAAAAGTATAAAGCCACCCATGAAAACTAACTTTCCGAGTTAAGGTGAGTATTTCATGGCTTGCCATAAACTTTATTGAATTCAGCGTGTTTGGAAACCATTGTTCTCTTTATTTCAGGAAGCAAAATGATTCACATACATTTTTATAAGAAGATTTCCAAATATCCCCTGTTTCAAAAGTATAAAGCCACTTGCAACATAACTCTATTTTTCCAGAGAAAAAGTGAACATCGTAAATATTAGTAACTAGCGTGACTTCCTTTTTTAGAAGTGAGATTTAATAGACCATTTGGCATACTATCCGTGAGCTTCAGAAGTATAGCGGGATTCAGGTGGTAGGAAAACGTCTCGATGGCTGTCTGAGGTCTCCCACGTTACTGTACTGCTTTCCATACGCGTATATCTGTCGGACAATGATACCCCAGGTGTTTTTTATTGGATTTGGATCTAGGCTGCTAGCAGGCCATTCCAGTACACTGATTTTGTTGACGTAAACCCGGTGTTGAGTGGACCGGCTGCGATGGATGGTGGCGTAATCGTGCATAAAGATGAAGTTTTGCCGACGACTTCCACACAGAAACGAGAGAAGATCATTAAGAAAAGCATCCTGATTCTCACTGGGGTCCATTTGACACGAGACGAAAGACAGAGGGAGCACAGCATCGCTGTAGAATGCAGCTCAGACCATCTATGCGCCACCACCGAAGTCTCTCCTGCTAAATACCAGCGGATCTTTGCTAAAATCTCTCCAGAATCTGTGATGACCATCCGGCCCGTCTAAGTTGAAGTTCTTTCAACCACAGAAAATGAACTGAACACTACAAGCCATTAACTAAACGTCATGATGAAAGTGTCTCCCTACCCCCGTAGAATCACCTACCGAACCCCAACTCGTTCGCATGTTCCTCCGGGCGAGTTCGAGACGAGGTGCTTTGTGATGCTGTTCCGGACGTGGAGTCTTCATCATGGATTGTCGCACGATATTTGGAGCAGAGTTAGCGACCCTCCAGATGGAACTTTTCGAAGCAAAAAGGGAGAGCTCGTATCGGATCTGACTGATGGTCGCAGTAGAATTGGAAAGGGATCGTTTAATATGGCGGATATAATACTCAAGCAGAACACGTGACCTTTCAGGGATCTTTCCTTTCATGATAAGCTGGATTCCTCAAAAGAAATGTCGATACAGCTTTGAGAACGTCCAAGTTGAGCAGCAATGGAGCGATTTGAATGGGCAGCTCGATGTAACGTCCTCGCACGAACTTGCTCTTCCAAAGAAAACGTAGATCCACGAGATATATTGAAGACGTAATGTGTTTGTGCTAATTATGGCCAAAGAACTCCAAATGAGTTAACAGGAACAAAAATTTTTACCGCTGTTGCCTACTCGCCCGGGGTGGCTTTATACTTTTGAAACAGGGGAGTTTTTCAAATTTTCTTATGGAACCGTTTCTAGCTTATAGTGGTTTGTACAACAAAGTTTACTATAGTTTCAGAGCGTGCTGAATTCGATAAACTATTCATCAAATCACGGAACCTTCATTCTAACTTGGAACAGCTTCATTCAAGGGTGGCTTTATACTTTTGAAACGCACTGTATTGGTTCGATGAGGTCGAGGTGGAGGACGAGAAGTATGAAGCTGAACCAACACCACTTCTTCAAAACTTGGCAATCTGCAAAATTACAGGTGGAAGAGCGAGCAGCTTTAAACGCCTCATACCATAGCGTATCGACTGGTTGTCGAGACCGCCAAGAAAGCGACCGAAAGAAGGAATGACCTACTTCAGGTTCCGACGCTGACGTAGGGCTAATGTGTCTTGCTAAATCCAGGAAGGGCCTCTAATGGTTTCCGGACAAGATCTCCTGTCCCTTGGGCCGGTATCGCGCACTTGATTTCAAACCCACACTACCATAAGAGCTACCTACATGATAGTTTGCGAATAATTCCAAGATGGAATTAGAAAATGGGTCTCTTGAGCTTCTTGATGGAATATCCCATTGTGGAATATCCCATGAGTTAGATTGGATTCTGGGGTGTTGTTTGTGTTCCAAATGACATGATATTTATTCATAATTCGTTGTAAATATACATACTTACATAGACACATCTAAGCTTATACAGTAAAGCGACAAGCATGTGAAAAATTGCATGACTTATGACTAATCAACACCCGAACTTGTAAGCATAACCTAGATGGTGACCTTAGTTACTTGAAAAGCTTTATTACAGAGCAGCATAATAGTAAGTACTTCATCGCTGAATGACTTCAGCTTCAAGCCAAGACCCGCCTTGTCTTTAAAAATATAACAATTTCATTGCCAAGAACGAAAGATGGGCGATGTTCACTGCTGTGACGGCTAGCATTGAT